TCCTCCCCCCCTCTTCCTGACTGCCGCTCCCCCTCCTGCTCCCCCGGTACAGCCTCCCCCCCCTGGTCCAGCCCCGTCAGGTGTGTCCCAGGCTACCCCTCCTCCTTCGGTAGCCCCTCCGGTACAGCCTCCCTCCCCACAGTCCTCCTCGCAGCGTGCCGCAGGTGCTAGCTCTCGAGAGGTTGGTGCCGAGCCTGTTCCAGTACCGGTTTCTAGTTCTGGGGGTGCTGGAGTTGGAGCTGAGCCGGTGGGTGCAGAGGACTCTTGTCTTCCGGGAGCTGGTGCTGGTCGCGCGGACACTGGGGGTGCTCTGTCTGGGGGTGAGGGTGCGCCTCCTTCAGGTTCTGGTGAGCCTGGGTCTGGAGCTGGTGTTAGTGCTGCCTCTGGGGGTGGTGTGCCTGGTCCTTCGGGGGTGGACTCTGGAGCTGCCGCTGCTCCGGACACTACTCCGCCCCCCCACCCCTACCCGACTAGGCACCAGGCTCGTGTTCGCCGTGCCCGTGAGGAGCAGCTGGCGTTGGAGAGAGAGGAGAGGGAGTTACAGCAGCTGGAGGAGCAACAGCAGCAGCAGCAGCAGCAGCAGCAGCAGCAGCAGCAGCAGCAGCAGCAGCAGCACCAGCAGCAGCAGCAGCAGCAGCACCTGCAGCAGCAGCAGCAGCAGCTGGAGCCGCAGGAGCAGCAGTCCCAGCAGCAGCCGCAGCCGCAGCCGCAGCAGCACCAGCAGCAGCACCAGCAGCAGCAGCAGCAGCCACTTCCTCCTCCTGTCTCAGGTCTTCGGACCCTTGGTCTCCCCTCTCCTTCTCCTCCCTCCCCCGCCTCTCCTCCTGTCTACGGTCCCACGTTTCCTCCTCCTGACTCCTCCCCCGCTGTTTTCCCCAGTTCTCCGCCTTTGTCCTCTCCTCCTCCGTCTCGTACTTGGGCTACTCGTCGCTCTCCTCGTGCTCGTCCCTCGTCCCCTGTTCCTTTCACTGACCTTCGTACTGTCTTGTTACGTTCTAGTCCGTCTCGTTCGGCTCCTCCTGTGCTTCCTTCTCCTCCTGAGTCGGCCCTCACAGCTTCTCTCTCTACCCCTGTCACTGACTACTACCGCACGTACCGTCCTGTTCTCTCTCGTGTTCTCGCCTCTCTTGTTACCCACCCTCGTGCCTCTTTGTCCTCTGTCTCTGCTCTTACTGCCGCGGTCACTGAGTTTGCCTCTACTCGCCGCCTTGACTACGCCACCACTCTTGTGGCTGCTCCTCCTACCAGTCCTCTGGCCGTCGGGGGTGTGTCTGCCCTTGGTTGTGACGTCCTAGAGGACAGGCAGTTTGAGCTAGAGTTCCTGGCAGCCGCTTCCCCTCATCTCTGTGCCATGCTCCTCACCCCTGAGGGTGACCCTGACGCCCTTGACATTCCGACTCCTCGCACTTACGCTGAGGCAGTGTCAGGGCCTTGGGCCTCTCAGTGGAGAGCTGCCATGGACGCAGAGATGGCCTCCTACAGATCCACAGGCACCTACGTCGATGAGGTTCCTCCCCCTGGGACGAACGTAGTCGATGGCATGTGGATCTACAGGGTGAAGCGGCCACCAGGATCTCCTCCAGTCTTCAAGGCGCGCTACGTTGCTAGAGGTTTCAGTCAGCGCGAGGGAGTTGACTTCTTTCAGACCTTCGCGCCCACCCCAAAGATGACCACTCTTCGGGTGTTACTGCACGTAGCAGCACAGAGAGACTACGAGTTACACTCTCTCGACTTCTCCACTGCTTTTCTTCAGGGCAGCCTACACGAGGAGGTCTGGCTGCGTCGTCCCTCTGCCTTCATTGGCACTTTCCCTCCTGGGACCCAGTGGAGGCTGAGGCGACCTGTCTACGGTCTTCGCCAGGCACCTCGTGAGTGGCACGACACTCTTCGCTCTACCCTCTCTGACCTTGGGTTCCAGCCGTCTTCTGCCGACCCGTCGCTGTTCATTCGCCGTGGCTCCACACCGTTCTTCGTTCTGGTTTACGTCGACGACCTAGTTTTCGCCACTGCTGACAGGGTTGCTTTGGCACACGTGAAGTCCGAACTGCAGAAGAGACACACGTGCACTGACCTTGGTGAGCTGCGCCATTACCTTGGGCTGCAGATCACCAGGGACAGAGCTGCTCGCACCATTACACTCTCACAGTCACACATGGTGCAGCAGGTCCTTCAGCGGTTCGAGCTTCAGCACTCCACAGTACAGCGCACACCTCTTGCTGTTGACCACAGACTCACTGGCCCCTTTCCTGACGAGCCGTTTGAGCCTAGTGGTCCCTACGCAGAGCTTGTGGGTTGCCTCATGTACCTGATGACTTGTACTCGCCCGGACCTCGCTTTCCCTCTCAGCATCCTTGCGCGCTTTGTTGCGCCAGGGAGACACCGTCCTGTTCACTGGACAGCAGCTGTGAGGGTGGCGAAGTACCTAGCGACGACATCAGGCGTGGGGCTAGTTCTTGGAGGGCAGCAGTCTGTTGTACTTACTGGTCACTGTGACTCTTCTTACGCTGACGACGCTGAGACTCACAGGTCTACTCAGGGGTACTGTTTCAGTCTGGGTTCTGGAGCTGTTTCCTGGCGGTCCACGCGCTCCTCTTCGGTCTCGACCTCTACAGCTGAGGCTGAGATCTACGCTGGTGCCATGGCGGCACAGGAGCTGCGTTGGTTGACGTTCTTGCTCGCCGACCTGGGTGAGCGGCCGAGCTCTGCACCGACCTTGTTCACTGACAACAAGGCATCCATTCTCCTTTGTCGAGAGCCGCGACTGGAGAGCAGAGTGAAGCACATTAACGTCAGGTACTTTCTTCTGCGAGAGTTGCAGAGGCGTGGACAGGCTCGCTTCGAGTTTGTGGAGTCTGAGGCCAACACTGCAGACATCTTCACCAAGGCGCTTCCGCCTTGTGACCACCACAGGTGTTGTGTGCAGTTAGGCCTTGTTGACACTGGTTTTCGGCTTACTTAGTCTTGAGTTCACTGCTTGCTTTGCTTGTACCCTTTCTATATATCTCTGTTATTGTTTGGACTGGCCTTGTGGCCATTGTTGCTTGTGCTCAGAGTTTGTGGTGACGTTGTGATCCACCCTGAGCTTTGTTTCTTTGTGACTGGTCTTGTGACCGTACTCTTTTGGTTTTGCTAGACACCCCTCACTTAGGCTATGGGGGTGTGTCAAATGTTGGTAGCCTGTAGTGAGATGTGTCTTTGGGGGTACGTATGTTAGGGTTTGCTACTTGTACCCCAACCACCATCAATGAAACAACACTTCCGATCTTGAGACATCCTGCCTTATTGTTGTATCATCCTCTCTTTCATTCCGTTTTGTCTAGCTCAATTTCGTCGCTTTTTTTAGTTTCTTATTGTTTCTTACCGTTCCTTCAATCTCCATCGGTTATGCCTTATCTCTCTCTCTCTCTGAGAGAGAGAGAGAGAGAGAGAGAGAGAGAGAGGAGAGAGAGAGATCTCTGGGGAAGGCAGATAGAGAGGGGCGGGCGGGGGTTCGGGACAGAGAGAGAAAAGGGGGGCGGGGAGGAGGGGGAGGAAAGGGGGCGTGGGAGAGGGGTAGGGGGTGAAGGCCGGGAGGAGGAGGAGCGAGGGAGAGAAAAGAGAGGTAGAGAGATGAGAGAGAAACCCAAGAGGACAGGAGAAAGAAAAGAAGAAAGAGAGTAGGAGAGAGAGAGAGAGAGAGAGAGAGAGAGAGAGAGCGAGAGAGAGCGAGCGCTAGAAGAGCTCTCGCTCTCTCTCTCTCTCTCTCTCTCTCTCTCTCTCTCTCTCTCTCTCTCTCATTCTCTCTCTCTCTCTCACTCGTTCTCTCTCTTTCTCTCTCTCTCTCTCTCTCTCTCTCTCTCTCTCTCTCTCTCTCTCTCTCTCTCTCTCTCTCTCTCTCTCTCTCTCTCTCTCTCTCTCTCTCTCTCTCTCTCTTTCTCTCTCTCTCGTTCTCTCTCTCTCGTTCTCTCTCGTTCGTTCTCTCTCTCTCTGGTTCTCGCTCTCTCGTTTTCAATCTCTCGTTCTCTCTCTCTTCCTCTCGTTCTCTCGTTTTCGATCTCTGGTTCTCTCTCTCTTCCTCTCGTTCTCACTCCCTCTCGCTCTCTCTCACGTCCTCTCTCTCTCTCGTCCTCTCCCTTTCATTCTTCTCATTCTCTTTTAAGCTTCAATTCTTAATATCACATCTTTCTTCTTGTATTCGATGCTTCTTTTTTGTTATCACAGATACTCGCTTGTAGGCAGGATGGATTTGAAGGAAGGGAGTGTCGTACCACTTACAGTGCATTTTTTTTAGTTCCTTATTATGAGTAATTGTTTGATTTGTTTCATTTCTGTTTGTATTATGCTTCTTCTCGTTGCAATCGTAATGCATGTCTGCATTTTCCAAAAAAATATCTTGCCGATCATCGTCACAAAAGGTTGAGTGGTCCACCACTATGACAGTGAAGCCATTTTCAGCTGGACTTGATCGGTTTAGATTTTTTTTTGAGATATGCAGATTGTATTGCTTTGTTACAGTAGCTGTTGAATTCAACGTTTATATTGCTGACTTCCCCGACACGCTAGGCGGGGGAAGCGGTAGTATAAATTTAAAATTTCAAATATTCATCAAATCATTTGATGAATATGAGAAATGCAATTATCGTTTGGTCGGTCATTGCAGTTCTCCACAGTTTCTCATCTTTCTAAATCATGCGCGTTACAAAAGAACGATGTGCAGAGTACCGTAGTAATGACCAGCAAATGACCAGAAAGCTAGACAAGTACGGTATGATCATTATGAAAATATTGTCAAGTTTTTTAGTACCCTAAACAACCATTTTCCAGTTATTTTACAATGTTTTTTTTGTTTTTTTTACAAATAATTAAAATTTCCTTAAAATTTTTTTTGCTATAGGTCGATTGCAATAGGTTGCTTCGCAACCCAACAAAGCATCATTGTTAGTGTGCATTGGTTAGCAACCTTTTTTTTTTCCTGTTTGGGAACAGGCTTGGTTCTAGAATCATGTGGGTGTAGATTATATCTACCCACATATCTGGTATGCCTGGCAAGCACCAATGTGTGCAGTCCCCAGAAAAGGGCGACTCTCCTTGCCCCTGGGGAGAGTTTGGCCCAGACTGGTCTCGACTTTGCCACCATACCCCTAGGTGTGCGTCTGGCCGCAATGCACTTATGCTAGTGATATCCAGGAATCGAAAAGGTGAGCCCAGGAACAAACTCTTTTGTGCAGCCGCATATTCTTCTGCAGTGCTCAAGGAATCGGAGTACCTTGAGTGCACAAAGCTGCTTGAAGCAGGCACGCGAGCACCACAGGCACCCACCCATGAGGCTCCATCACTTTGCTCAACCCCAGGTTGTGTTTGACCAGCGCCCGCATGCTTTGGGGAGAAGGAGAGGAAGAATGGGACTCCCGAGTAGTCTATTTGCTTGACATAGGAGAGAACCGTGGATAGGGCCCACGTGTGTGCGGCGATGTTACTCAGATTCCGCCGCTGCCCGCCCACGAAGAAGCTGTTGGGAACGGTGCGGCGAGGGACGTTTTGCAGCCACCAGACCCCCGAGTGGAAGACGACGGCGCTGTAATTCGCGAGCACGTGCTCCAGCACCGGGTCCATCTCATCCACGTACACGTCAAACCCGTGCCCGCCCTTGTTCGCGTCTTTCCCCGTGGCTGTGTTGCGGCGACTGGTGCGCACAATGTAGGGCGAGAAGTAGTACTCTAGGGAGAAGGAGAAGGCTGGAAAGCGCACTCCCTTGATGCTGAAATCGCCTTTCGTCTTGCGCCTAAAGGGCTGCCAGGCAAGGGTGTTTGGAGGACGGTAGCAGACAGAAAGGAAGGCGAGGTTTAATGAGATCACGAGGACCCTTCTGTTCACGACCGAAGCCTTGTAATCCTCCTTATTCGATGGACTCCATCGCGTCCGTCGTCATGCGTCTAAGTCAACGTCGACCGCAAGTGATACATGCGAGAGCGCATGCGATTTCAATGCTGGGCGACACTGATATCAAGGAGGAGAGTGTGGGCCATGGCGTCGTACCTGTCCGTCGTAGCCCGCGCTGCTGATGGAGCAGAGCAGCGCCTCGAAGAGGTTCGACATCATAGAGTCGCCCACCAGTAGCATGCGCTGCCGCGACAACGGGACGGGGGGAGCAGGGGAGGAGATGCACGTGGGGTGAAGATCGTGCGTGCCTGACAGGGGACAGGCTACCGATTGCTGGCGATTGACTGCTGCTGGAGCCGCACGGGAGCTACAGGTGACATGTGCATACAGCTTGAGATGGTGACAGCACTCCTTTCGCTCCAACGAGTAGCGGAAGAAGCTCCAACGAGCCCATTGAAATCGAGGCCGCGGCGGGGCGGTCCAGCTTACCCGATCGCGCATGAGAAAGCGGAAGCCAGACACGGAGAAGTAGCTGATCGGGCAGTCGAACGGCTGCCACCGGTACTCGCGGTACTGCAGGTCGGGCCGGTTGTTGCGCTCGCACGCGTACGACGACCGCGCGAACGGACACGATTTCGGATGGCCGGCGATAGTGGTGTAGCGGGGGGAAGCGTTTAGGCGAGCGTATCCACGCCCCGTTGGACAGGTCGCAGAGGTCTGCGGCACGGACGCAGGGGAAGGGGCAGATGATAGACGGGCTTAGCTGGCTTGTGCGCGACGAGAAAAGAGACAGTGGGGGGGCGGGTCAGCAGAAGGACGTCCGAAGTGGAGTGCTCTGAACTAGACACAGCGCGCGTCTCGCCCATTGACATGTCCGTCTGAGGCCGAGGCATGATTTAGTTTTTTTCTTTTTCTTTTTGGTAGGCTTGTCCGGCTCCGCCGGAACCCCGGGGTAGACTGGTGTCCACCCAAGGTAGTCCCGAAGAGAACCATGCCCCACGGACCAGTGTCCTCTGAGTAGGCGCCCCCAACTGGCTCCACGCCACGTAGCCCTCACTAGCCGAAGCTATTATATGACGTGGTTGTGTTGGTGTGTGGTGCTCCACTAAACTCTCCGTTGCTGCAGCGAGTGCCTGGTAATTATATAGCTGAGGGGCCTTCTTCTGGCAGTCGCCCTGCTAGGTGAACTTGTGCGCTGCTGCCAGGCGCTAACACAGCTTTCCCCTTCTGATCCATGCTGCACACGTCGTCGCGTCGAGCCTCGACAAGTGGCGGTGCGAGGCTTGGAGTGCTCACCTCGCTTGGGCTTCGGGGCAAGCGACGTGACGGCGGGAACGAGCAGACATAGCAGCAGAACGGTGGAGCATGAAGGGAGTGACGCTGAAATTGGTAGGAAAGATATGAGATGTGGAGTACGTAGCCGCGGCCGGTACGAGGTGGCCATGAGATAAACACATAAAATAGGGCCAGTGCCCTGAAGAATGAGCCTCGCTACTCTAAGACGGTGCTGTTTGTGGTGAAATGGGCAGGCTGTTGGGTGAAAAGGAAACTATATGCAAAAGGAAATGCAGTGTTGGTTGCTCTTTGCTCTGCTTTTTGACGTCGTAACCAGTGACTTCCGACCAACCTTGGTCGTCGCTGGGCCAATGGCGTTGGAGGCAACGCTTTGTCATTGGAGAATTACGATCGTAGACGGTCGCAAAGATGTGGCTTGTTTCGATGTTGGTTGTTCAGCTAGGAATGCCAAGACAGAAGACAGCACACCCGTGCCGCCGGAAAGGACGGGCGGCAGCAGCGCCAGCCAGTCAGCCAGTTGGTGAGGGAAGGGAGGCGAGGCGACACGTGTGTCGCATGTTCTTTTCACAACGATGTGTTTTGGAAGGGTGATGGTGAGGAGGAGTGATGAGGTGTGAGGAGGTGCGTTGAGTTGAGGGGAGGGAGTTGATGTGCTCAGCTCACAGAAAGTTCCCGAGCCGCGATGCTCTCCATCGAAACGGACGTGCCTCGCTGCGCACAAACAACATTCAAGTGGCTGTCCTTGAATTGACTGCATTAGGCGCAATATATCTACCACAAAAACGAAAGCGCACACTTCCACGAACAAATGAGCTAGAGCGTCTTATACCGTATCATATACACAATGAGTATATGCCTAAGAAAGAAATCGACCAGGCTAGGAAGCATCTATTTTTCCTAACCAATAGATGAAATCATGCCTCATTTTACTTGAAAGAACTAAGATATGCCTACCTAGCCAGCGTTACACATACAATGCAGATATCAACATCAAAATAGTTCTATTCAATTATTAAGGTGATCAAGATACCACGGTATATGAGCTCATTATTAACATACTGTGAAACTGTTAGATGCACCAGAGCACATGTTAACATCTGAGAAGATCCTTTCGAAACAGCCTGGTCATGAATCCAACTTTGAGTTCTGCATATCTCAATGCAACAGAAATGTGAGCAGGACAATGTTACTCATGCTCCAGAATCAATCCAGCCACCATCACTGTTGGGCTAGCAAGGCAGAAAGAAGAAACGAGAAGCCCATATACACTTGATTTGATACACTGAAGTGCTAATTTCTCAAAGGTCACTGACAGCGGCCAGGCCCACGACAATATACATAATCGTCACCGCAAATGAGTTAAAAACAAGTTGGGCTAGTATTGGGAACTGTAGTAAACCCACCCAAGGTGGCAATACTAGTATGGGAAAATATGTCAATGGTAACTTACATGGGGCACTAAAACGCGTACGGTAACGATTTCAACGCGTTTGGTAACTCGCTTAACACATTTGGTAACTCTACACTAGCAGCCCATCACGCGAATGGTAACTACATGAAATTCCCGCCGAAATCTTCCTGAAAATAAGGAATTTATCGAGTTTGAGAGCTTTTACGCACATCATTATCTTTCTTGAACGCGTCCCGCCACGAAAATTAAGGACCCCGTTTGTTCTATTACCACGAACCTGTCAAAGTTATGTTTAATATATATCCTGCGTGCTGTAGTTACTGCAGTTATTGTTCTTAACTATTTGGTGGTGCACCACTGTGCTCACCTTCCCTTGAACTATATCATGTATCTTGCTCATTAGTGTAAGCCCTCTTCTTCCGTTTCCCTCGCTACTCTCGCACCCCAAAACCCTAGTCTACTTAGGCTACTATTCTAACATGGTTTCAGAGCTGGTTCTTTCCTAGAACCTTCATTTTTTTTTTCAGAAACATGGGCCCGCCCTTAATGCAGCGCGAAATGCGCTATTTTCTTCGTCCCGTCGCGCCCTGCGCCCGTCTGATTCGTCGCCCCGCGGCCCCCCATTTCGTCGCCCCGCGGCCCCTGATTCGTCGCCCCGCGGCCCCCCATTTCGTCGCCCCGCGGCCCCTGATTCGTCGCCCCGCGGCCCCCCATTTCGTCGCCCCGCGGCCCCCGATTCGTCGCCCCGCTGCCCCCCCGTTTCGTCGCCACGCGGCCCCCATTTCGTCGCCACGCGGCCCCCGTTTCGTCGCCCCCGTCACCCCGCAATCCGCCAGCGCGGAGGCCAGCGCCGCGGCCAGCCGCCAGCGCCAGCAGCAGCTACCGCCGCCGCCCCCCCCCCCCCCGCCCTCCCTTCCGCGGCTTCCGTCGTGGGGAGGGGGGAGGGAGGGGGAAGGGGTTGTGGGGAGGGGGGGCGGGTGTGAGGAGCCTGCCACTCCTCCCTCCCTTCCCTCTTCCTCTCTCCCTGCAGCAACTGTTGCTGTAGGGGGGGGGGGGAGAGAAGTGCAGAAGGGTGAGGGGGGGTGGCGGGAGAAGACAGATGCGGCGGGTGTGAGGAGCCTGCCACTCCTCCCTCCCTTCCCTCTTCCTCTCTCCCTGCAGCAACTGTTGCTGTAGGGGGGGGGGGGGGAGAGAAGTGCAGAAGGGTGAGGGGGTGGCGGGAGAAGACAGGTGCGGAAGGTGTGAGGTTGACGGGTTGAGTGACGAGGGGGGTGAGGTCTAGGGGGTTCTTAACGGGGGGGGATCGCATTGAGCGTGCGCGCTCATGCCCGCCTAGCCCACCTCCTCTCCTCATCGGGACTTGGGGGTTCTTAACGGGGGGGGATCGCTATGAGCTTTTGCACTCAAGCCCGCCTAGCCCACCTCCTCTCCCTTCCCTCTCTCACCTCCCCTTTGTAAAAGGAGGTTCGTAAGCGGGTCCGCCGGTCCTGGCCCCCCACCTCCTCTCCTCTCCTCTCCTCTCCTCTCCTCTTCTCTCCTCTCCTCTCACCTTCCTCACTTCTCTGCCTTCTTCCACAGCGCTTGGTTTGCTCGTTCAGGGGGTGCTGGCTGCACCAGTTTCTACTGCACGCAGGCTAAGGGGGTGTGTCAAAGTTATGTTTAATATATATCCTGCGTGCTGTAGTTACTGCAGTTATTGTTCTTAACTATTTGGTGGTGCACCACTGTGCTCACCTTCCCTTGAACTATATCATGTATCTTGCTCATTAGTGTAAGCCCTCTTCTTCCGTTTCTCTCGCTACTCTCTTACCCCAAAACCCTAGTCTACTTAGGCTACTATTCTAACAGAACCAAAAAGTTCAGAATTTATATATAATTATGTAGCTCGTACAAAAATGGATAACATCATATTTTGATAGCATGATTGCGAACTTGCAAAACGATAAAAAAATTATTCCCGAAAGGACATAGGGAATTTTACTTTTTTTTTTAATACTGCAACGCTGGAAGATTTTTTCATGTGGAAAAAAATAAACCTTTTTAAAATTACATCTTTCATTTTTTTTTAAATAAAGATCCACAAACGCCTGGTCGCAAGAAGTTTAAGGTTGTTGCTCTCAAATTTATTTGCCATCTGAAAGGGATATAGATTTGTTTGCCCCGGCTGCACGATAGAATAAAGTACAAACAGTTTGCGGAAAGTGCGCCAGAAACATTTATGTAAGAAAAGCTGTTTTCACAAAACTTACGTTTTTGTAATTTGCCTGAAAATCGGAAAGTGTGTCAGGATTTCGAAAAGTGTGTCAGAATTTCGGAGAGTGTGTCAGAATTTTCTGCTTCAGGATTTGTCAATTTATTCTGACGCGAGCGGGAAAAACCAGAATCAGGCTCAATTTCGGTGGGAATTTCATGTAGTTACCATTCGCGTGATGGGCTGCTAGTGTAGAGTTACCAAATGTGTTAAACGAGTTACCAAACGTGTTAAGCAGGTTACCAAACGCGTTAAGCGAGTTACCAAACGCGTTGAAATCGTTACCGTACGCGTTAAAGTGCCCCATGTAAGTTACCATTGACATATTTTCCCTACTAGTATAACTTCCAAGCCCAATGTACCCCTAGCTGCCCACATTGCAAGTGAGGAGCGAAGGGAAGTGCTTGGGAGTGCGAAGGGGGGTGAAAATCGGACAAGTACGGCACCAATACCCGGTAGTAGTGAACTAGCGGGGTTTATTAGCCAGACTGTTGGAAATCTCAATACAGAGAATCACAAGACAGCCTAATCCGTACCTATCCCAAACCATAGGGTAGCACAAGTCAATAAAGTACAATTAATTCTGGCTTTGAGGCCACAGGAACCTCTATTGAAATTTGCCTTCGAACTTCATGTTGGTAAAGAGGACATCCACCCAGGCATCCGGCACGCCGGGTAGACACCAGTGCGTGCAATCACCAGTGAAGGGCGACTCCTTCCGCCCCCCAGGCGAGTCCGGACCCGTCTGGTTACGCGGCTCCCACCACACGCCCAGGTGCCCGTCGGGGCGTACTTCGCTCATCTGCGTCACGGGGAGGAAGCGGACCTGCGTGCCCGCCAGAGTCGCCTGCTGCGCGTCGGCGTACGCCTTGGCGGAGGGCAGCGTGTTCACGTACTTGATCTTCTCTTCCTCGTCGATGGGGCCGCGCGCGCCGCACGCGCCCACCCACTCCGGGTAGTTGGGACCCTTTTTCTTGTTCCTCACGCCGGGCTGCGGTGCGCCGCGGCCGCCGTGCTTGGGGGAGTAGGAAAGGAAGTATGGCACGCCGCTGTAGTTGCTCGACTTGATATACTTCGCCACCGTCGCGATGCCCCACGTGTGCGCCGCCGAGTTGGTGAGGTTGCGGTGCTCGCCGTTGGCGAAGAACTGGTTGGGCTCGCGATAGCCGGGCTTGTTCTGCAGCCACCAGATGCCGGTGCCGAGCACCACGGCGTCGTAGTTGGGCAGGATCTTGGCGAGCGTGGGGTCGATCTCGTCCACGTACACGTCGTGCGCGTGCCCGCCGCCCGCCTTGCCGCTGCTGTCCGCAGACGAGCCTTTGGAGAGCTTGGTGGCGCGCACCAGGTACGGCGCGAAGTAGAAGTCGATGGATCCGGAAAACGCGGAGAAGCGAACACGGCGGATATCGAAAGTGGCATTGGTGGAAAGGGTTAACTCCTGGAGAAGGGCGGGGGATGAGATGACAGCAGGAGCATTGGATTAACGGACAAAGACCACCATGCGGCAATTTTTTTCCGGATGTGTCAAACAAATGTCGCAAGAGGCGCAACAGGAAGCTGGTCGCGAATGCGGTACGCACCTCGCCCTTGTATCCGCCCGTGTTGATGAGGCAGAGCAGCGACTCGTAGAAGTTCATCATGATGGAGTCGCCCACCACCAGCATGTTCTGCAACCACCACCACCACACACGGTCAGAAAATGCCGAAGCAATGCCTCTCACGTAAGGGACGATGCGCTCCATAGCAGCAGAATTAGAGGGGCGAATAAGACGACGAATTGGCACTCACCTTCTTGCGCATCATGTATTTGAAGCCAGGAGCGCTGAAGTAGGAGATGATGCACTTGTCGGGCTGCCACCGGTACTGCGTGTAGTAGTCGTCAGGCCGGTTGTTGCGCTGGCACGAGTATTCGGATCTAATGTACGGACATGAGTTCCACTCTCCCGAGAGCCCCGTGTAGCGTGGGAACCGGTTCGCGGCGCGAACCCATCGGCCTTCCGATAAATCGCACCCTGATCGTAGGTGACGGGCGGGAGATAAAGGCGCGAAATGAGGCGAATGTTTGCAGAAATGAGCGCGGAATCTCTGGTGATGATTAGCGGACAGATTAGACCAAGCTGAGAATGCTCCCCTGCAGCGATCCTTGTCGAGAGTTGTTTCTTCTCCAACGAGATCTCGCCACTAGAGACGTACCTTTTTGGGGATCAGGGAGCCTGGCATACGTGATGCCTGCAAGGCACAAAAGCGCCACCACTACCACGACATGTCTGTGCGCGTTCATCTTCGTCGGCGATGGGTGAGCTAACCTCTAGGTTGCAAGGAATGTAATTCAAAGCCCTTGTAGTGTGTCTAGATGTTATACTGTCCCAAATCTCCTTGGCGCCACTCTGGGTTTGAGATAAGGGCACACCTTACACGTCTGCGGGCGATCGTTGCTTTTAAAGGTCGCCGGAAAGCCTACTGTCGGTCATCGGGCTCCCTAATGGTCCAGAAGAAGCAGCACAGATAGCGGATTGCTGGGCTAAGTGGCGCACAGATTTCCACCAGTTGGCGTTGGCGAAGGGCGAATCCAGGGCATGTGGCACCATGGGAGCAGGAGCATCACAGAGCGCTGTACACTGCGAGCCGCGCATTGCGGTCCGAATGCGACGGGGGTCAGGCGTCGAGGAGCGTGGCATGGCTCGGCATCAGCGCAATGTTGGGTTTTCCGGTGATGATCCGACGTGGGGGGAGTCAATGGACGTGGTTGTGGAGGGCGGGAGTGAATGCGGAGAATGACCTGTCCTTGTATAGGAGATATAGTACAGCGTGTGCATTGCTATCATGGTAGAACCATAAATGCAGAAACTACAATAGAATAATACCGATAATACGGTTGTTTTATAAACTAAGAAAGTAAGCATTTTTGTTCCGTTCCTTGGGGTCTATAGATTTTCCACTTCTGGTAAATTTCTGAAAGTAACATTAAAATAAAATCAGCTCATGTACGTATAGAAAAATGTGTATTTTGGTTTAAAAAATGCAATAATCATAGAGAAAGTCGTGGCATTAAAATAATGAAACTACGTAAAAATTATAAATAAAGTGGTTCAAAATATATATTTGCACAAGATGCAACAACGTCCGATGGAAAATGAACAATGCAAATGCTATCATTGGTTTGTGTAGAGACATTAATGCATCGAGTGTAGCTGTTAGAGCTAATAGGGGGACGGGGAGTTGAAACCCAAAGGTTGCATTGGACTTTCGCAGCAAGCGTCAGAAGTGACACCTTTGTAGGATCTGATTGGCTGCGCTCCATTCTGGCGCCAAAATTTGAACCCCGATTCGAGAGTTCATTACTGTCTATTGCAAGGTGCTGCCTGCCCAGTGGAGTTGGGGTCACTGCGGGTGCGATTCGCGCCAACAGCAGGTGGGTGAGTTTGTTGATGGCGGCGCGGTGCTGTCCACTCAGCTACTCCCTAGTCTGGTCTCTTCGACTCTCCTCACTCAACTCTCCCACACTCTACCACATAATCAAGTCTTCACTTCTCGTCATCTTATCCGCTGTTGCTCCTCTTCTCCTCTAAAGTTCATCATTTATGCTTCTTCTTAGCTTCTTTGGCGCTTTTGAATAGTAAGATGCCTGAACTAGAGCAAGAATACCTCGTTCCGTTACCTCATGAATCGCAATGGATCGTTTGTGACGCGTGAACGGTCAACTTCTCCTGAACACTCTAGATTGACAGCCTCCCGCCGTTTGGTATTATAAACTCATAAGTCATGGTTCGCTTTCGATTTCGGTTCCATCGGTTGCGGAAATGTTTCCTCCGCACCAACAGCCTTTCTCCTGCTGGCAAGAAGGTGCGCTCCCTCGCTCCCTCGTTTATTTCACGAAGTACATAGGGATGCGCAAGGGGGCTTAAAGGATACGCCGAGTCAAGGCGATAAGTGGCAATACCTCCATGCATAGATGTCGGATGCTGTAGCGTACCGGCGTTGCATGTCAAGCAGGCAGTACGCAGCGAAGTCTGAAACACAAGTTGCCACGGCGAAGGTTATCGCAGCACTGCTACGCTCGGCTGATCTTTTGCATGACAACCTCCCGATCATTAAACGCACATGTAAAGCACGAATTACGCATTAGCTAACTGCTTATCATCGTCCAGGCTCAAATCGCTTCGTGCCATGTGTCTCGCGTTCGTGCATCCGTGCGTGCGTGCGTGCAGAACAAGGAGCTAGCGCGGCTGATAAAGCACCAGCAGGCGCAGTTCCACTCGGCGCTGCTGATGCGCGGCATGGTGGACGAGGGGCTGCTGCCGCGCCACCAGTACGCCGCCTTCACGCGCGACCTGCTCGGGGACGTGCTCGCCAGCACCGCGCACGACCAGTGGCCGCAGCTCACGCGCAGCAACCTCGTCTTCATCCAGGTGCCCGCCATCGCCTCTCTCTCCCTCCATCCCTCCCTCGCTCCCTCCCTCTCTCCCGCCCTGCATATCTATCGCTATGACTTGCCTTGACTCTCCCAACCCCCATCAGTTGATGTCATTCCTCTTTTCGCCCCTTCCGCGCCGCACCCCGCAGGACTTGTTTGAATCGCACTGCATATCGCCAGCGGACTACCACGCGGCCAAGCTGGCGCTGATCCACCGCCTCGCAGCGCAGGGGGCGGACATAGACGACACGGATTTCTACCTCGGATCGGCCGGCCCCAACGCGCCCTCCCTCCTCCGCAACAGCCGGCCGTCCCTCCACAGCCCTCCGCCCTCCGGCGCTCCTCCTTTCTCTCTCGGCGATTCTCTGCGCCGCAGCGCCGGTTCTAGGGGCGCGCTGTTGCGCGCAAGCCGCAGCAAAGGTCAGTTTCGCAAGCCTCGGAAGCAGCGCGGCGGGTCGGTGGCTGGGAGCGGGAGCGGCAACGGCAGTTGGGAGGACGCAGGCAGCAGCCAGGGGTCGGCGGGCGGGGGGACGCGCGCGAACCCCAAACCCCCTCTGCAGCGGCAGTTCGACGAGGCGGCGCTGGAGGGGTTGGGGGCGGGGGAAGGGCGCGGGTGGCCGGGAGCACAAGGTGAAGGGGACAGGCGGCAGGAGGGCGCAGGGGACGCGCGGCATGGAGGCAACGGCCCGGCAGTAGGCGGTGAGCGCGGCGGTGAGAGGGATCCCGCTGCGCATGAGCCCCACCTCTCGGAACCTCCAAGGCGGCCGCCGCCACAGCAGCAGCAGCAGCAGCAACAGCCGGAGCAGTGTCATGAGACGCAGCGAGAGCAGCAGGGGGCAGGGCGGGGGGAGCGGGAATGGGAGGCGGAAGAAGCGGAGCAGGAGTACGTGGCGGTAGCGACGGAGGCGGACCTCACACCAGGCGCCACTCATTTCGCCCGACCACACGCCGATCCCCCCCGCACCCCTGCTCCCACCTTTCCGCCTCCTCCGCCCCCACCCAGCGTCCCCGCTGCTGCAGCGGAGGAAGCGGCCGTTGCCAAAAAGAGGGAGCAGTTGGGGGGCGCTGGGGAGAGAGTGAATGGGGGGGGGCAGCGCAAAGTGTATGGTGCGCCCCAGGGTTTGGCGGACGACACGTGGGGACTTGGCTCTGGCGGCTTTGGCGACTCGTGGGGAGGCGCGCGCAACCGAGAAAGTGGACGAGAGGCGCAGGGTGGCGACGCGGGTGTGGCGACGTACGCTGTAGGCAGAGAGAAGCGGGAGAATAGGGCGGATTCAAGAGTTGCGCCTGCGCATGCGCCTGCGGATCTGCGTGTCCACCAACAGGCGGAAGCAGGGAAGAAGCGCGCAACAGGGGCAGCCGTTCACAAGTTCCGCCGACCCATGGCGGCTGCCGCAGGCCCTCCGCCCGCTGCGGAGCAGACGCCGCTGCAGGCCATGCTGGCGGCGGGGTGGCGCATGTGGTCCGGTCGCACGGAGAAAGGCGCAGTGCAAGGGGGAAAGGGGGCGGAGGCGGGGGAAGAGACGTGGGTAGAGGAGGTGGTGATGGTGGAGGAGGTGGAGGCGGAGGAGGAGGTCGGCCGGCCCGCGAGAGGCGCGATGGCGAGTGGCGCAAGGCAACAGGAGCGCTCAGGGGAGACTCTGCGGGGAGACGATGGGGGCGGAGGCAGAGCGGGAGGGGCGGGGATGAGGTCCGCGGGAGCGGCGAGGGAACGCAGCAGGCAGGAGTGCGGAACGAACGGTCAATCCGCGCGAGATGCGGAGGGGACGCGGTGGGGTCACGACACAGCTCCAGCAGGACGTGCGCATGTTGACGCGCGCGTGGGGGAGGGGGACGAGATCCGCGCGGAAGTGCGCGAGGAGAGGCAGGAGCACGCAGCGCAATGGGTGACGGGGGACAGGAGAGAGGAGAGCAGGGAACAGCAAGAGGGGAGTGTCGGGGGGGAACTTCCAGACGGTGGAGAGGCATGGGCGCGGAGGGAGCCGGCGAAGGCGCACGATGGAGGAGACAACGGCGGAGGGAGCGGGAGGCGCAGCGACAGCCGGAACAGCAGCAGCAGCAGCAGCGGAATCGAGGGCGGCAGCAGCAGCGCTCCGCGTTTGTCTTCCATCGCTGATGACGATGGTGACGGTGGCGAGGAGAGCAGTCTCCGCAACGACGCACGCCACGCGCACGAAGCACCCACGCCCGACGCGCCCAACACGGTCAATACAGTCAACACGGTCAACACGGTGAACACAGTCAACACAGTCAACACGGTCAACACGGTGAAGACAGCCAACACGCCCGCCACGTGGATGGCGAGCGCGCTGTCCGAGGGCGAAAACCCCGTGTCGGAAGGCGGCTCCGCGCGAGTCGACCTCTTCGCCGCTGGCCGCTTTCAGCGCCAGGCGGCGCGCGGAGTGGTGCAGGCTCTCAGGCTCGGGGACGCCGAGCTGAGAGGGGGCAGGGTGAAAGCGGAGACAGTAGGGGAGATTGCGGAGGAACCCGCAACGGAGGAAGACGAGGACCTCGGGCTGAGGGACGATGGCGGGAACGCGGCGGCGGGGGAAAGCGCGCCTGCTCCCACCCCCATGACAGCGCCGCGAGCCTTCAGCTTCAGGCGGCCAGGCGGTGTCACGCGGCCCGCCGACCTCGAAACGCCCCCCGGAAAACGCCCCCCGCCCCAGCCCTACCCGTGGGCGGGGAAGCGCGCGGACGAGGAGGGCTTGGCGGGCGGGCCGAGCGGACGGCTGTCCCGCGTGGAGGAGCGGAGGTCGTGCGGGGAGGGCAGCGACTGGTGCGCGGAGGAAGGCGAACGACCGCGCGCACCTCAACCTCCCGCCGCGGAGAGGATGGCGCAAGAGCCTGAGCTAGTGACGGCCGGGGCGGAGGATGAGCGGACGGGCTTGGGCAAGGGGAGCCGCCGTCGCCCGGGCGAGCCCCGCACTGGCGGAACCATTTTCCGCGGAATCATGCGGAAGATCTCCGCGCGTGACCTGGGCGCAGCGGCCGCCGCCGCCGTGGCGAAGGTGGACTTCACTCCGCTCGCCACCGCCGCGCGCCTGCCCAGCTTTGCGCGCACCATGAGTCGCGGAAAGGGCGCAAGCAGCCGCGCAGCCGCGGCGGGGGGTCTACTGATGCCGCCGCGCAAGCTGCAGATCGAGGGGTTGAAGAAATCCCGCGAAGGCGCGGGAAGGCGGTCGCGCGATCCGAGCAGGCGCAGTCGCGCGGCGATGCGACGGTCGGCGCGGTCGAGCAGCAGCATGGCGATGGCGATAGGCGACGACTACGACGACGATGACGTGTCGTTCTGGGCCGGCGGGGAGCGACGATCGCGCGTGCTGCGGGTGGCGGGGGATGAGGAGTTGGTGCACGCTGAAGTAGAGGAGGAGGAGGTGGAAGAGGAGGAGGAGGTGGAAGACGAAGAGTACGAGGAAGAAGAGGAAGACGGGGATGAGGGGGAGGAGGAGCAACGCGAGGCGACGCCAGGAGTGGCGTGGTCGGTGAACGTGCCCGCAGCCAAGGCGCGCGCCAGGGTGAGCGCGCGGAAGCCGCGGAAGGAGGTCACTCCGCCGGGGCTGCGGGGACGCGGGGAGCAGGCCTATGAGACGTTCCCTGCGGCGTCAGGGGGAGTGGCGGCGGAGAGTGCGGCAGGGGGGGAGGACGAGGGGGATGGGGACAGAGAATCAGCAATGGCAGCGGCGGCGGCAGCCATTGGCTTATCTCCTGCGCTATCCGGCGTGGTGGGGATGGCTGGCAGGGCAGACGCGGGGACGGGGAGAGGAGGTGCCGGGGGGAGAGGAGTGCGAGGCATGGGCGGAAGGGGAAGGGAACGCGGAAGCGGCAGTGCAGGAGGCGCGAGGCGAGGGGTGCAGAGGAGCAGCAGCAGCACGAGTGAGCAGCAGCAGCAGCAGCAGCAGCAGTGAGAGCGAGAGCGAGGGCAGGGGACACGCATGGCGGCGGAGGAGCACGAGAGGGGCCGGGAGCAGCAGCAGCAGCAGGGGTGGCAGTGGCAGCGGGAGCAGGGGCGGGGGCAGCACTGGTGGCAGTGGTGGCAGTGGTGGCAGTGGTGGGAGTGGGAGGAGCAGCGGGGGTGGTGGGGGAGTGGTGGTGGTGGAGGGGGAGAACCGGCGCAGTGTGGACGCGTTGGAGCTCAAGAAGAAGCTCAGCGGCTGGGTCGCCTCCTCTGGCGTCGCTGCCATTGACAAGGTGCGCCACTCCTGCTGCCAGTTGCGCACATGCACACATGCCCGTACCACACGCAAGTTCATGCATCCACCTGCGTTCTCCTCGCATCATCCGTGCTGCCGTGTGTCCTTCCTCCACTCCATTCCACCATGGGCTCTTACTTCCTCCCCCCCCCCCTCCTGTTCCCCCACCAGGTGCTGGTGACCAACATCCGAGCATCGCTGGCGGCCATGCGAGCGCAGCTGTGCGCAGCGCACCCCAAGCTGCACCCCTCGCAGATCCTCTCGTACGTCCATGCGTGCTGCCTGCTGCACCCACCCTCCTGCATCCTGCCATCATGCTTTTATGCTACCATGCCGTCGTGCTTTCCTAGCATGTGCGTTCACCACATAGCAGCTGCATGGCAGCAGGCCCACCAAAAGCACGCATTTTCCTTTGTGTACCGCCCGTGTGCGCCGTGCAGGGATGATGAGATGACAGCAGTGGCCATGCGCATGCCTGCCGACAGAGCAGAGCTCCTCAAGTTCTTCCCACAGTGAGTCTCACACCATGCACCACGCACCATGTAACATGTTCCATGCCACACCGATTCTCAGCGCTTGTGAAGCTAATCTCACGTGCACATCATATAGTATGCGCAGCGCAGCCCCTCGACACCAGATTTCACACTGGTACATCTATTTCGAACTCAAAAAGCTACACCCTCTGACAGACATCCCTGTGCCTGTGCGTGGTGTGGTGTGGTGTGGTGTGGTGGGTGGGTGTGCAGGCGGTGGGTGGAGCTGTTCGGAGTGGTGGTGCTGGACGTGGTGCAGAAGGAGGTCAGCCGCCATGTCGCCCCGCTCAAGGACCCCCCGCCTCCACCACCTCCCCCCGCTGCTGCATGCGCGCCTGCCCACCCTCATCCCCACCCACATGCCCACGCGCCAGTGCAAGCCCACATGCACATGCAGGTGCATGGCGATGCAACCCCATGTGTCCCCGGGCATGGCCGTGGGAGTGGGGCGACGGCAGCAGCAGGGGGTGCAGTGCAGGGAGCAGGGGTTTCCACTACGGGTGATGGCGCGGATGTGGTTGATGCTCGCCCTCGCACGCACGGCGCTGCTGCTGTGCGGAACACGTCAGCAGTGGCAGTGGGAGGAGAGGCAAGAGCAGCAGGCACTGGTGGTGGTGCCGGTGGTGGTTCAGGTGGGGTGCAGTTTCATGGTCATGCAGGCCCGTCTAGACACTACCGCCCACCATCCCCCCACCATGCCACTGCCAACAGTGCAAGCGGTGGCAGCAGGACCACCCCTCATCCCCTTGACTGTGCTGCTCCGGAGCTTGCTTCGTACAAGCAGCCCTGCGCGCCACCAGTAGCAGCAGCAGCAACACCAGCTATGGCACCTGCAGCAGCAACAAGACCAGCTCCAACAGCAGCAGCAGCAGCAGCAGCAGCAACAACACGGCCAGGGTCGGGCGGCACGAAGACGGCTCAGCGCCCCCAGCACTACCGGCGACCTTCCCTTGCGCCCCCTGATCGCTTCTCCCCGACCATGGCCCCCCCTGTTGCCGCACTGGCGGTGGAAGCACAAAAGAAACAGGGGGATGCACGTGGTGGCTTTGCAGCAGAGGCAGCGGCGGCAGGCAGTGTGGCAGGGAGCAGGGCGAGCGGCAGCAGCGGAATGGGATATGGGGCGCCGGCACAACCCCTGGGCGAACGGTGTGTTAACGTGGGGCAGGGAGTGGGGCGAGGGAGCTATGGCAGCCGGGATGGGAGCACGAGGGAGGGGTGCGACGGCAGCAGGGATGGCAGTAAGTGGAAGGTGTGGGGTCAAGGGGCCACGGAACGAGAGGGCGCGGGGGGATTTGAGGAGAGAGAGAGTGTGGTGGCGCCTGTGCTGGACAGCCTAGACAACCCGCTGCTCAACTCCATCGCCCCTGCTGCTGTCCTTGCTGCTGCTGCTGCCGCAGGCAAGGAGAACGTGGGTGTGTTTGCAGCGGGGAAGGCAGGCGGTGCGGGTGGAGCAGCAGGTGCAGGGGTGGCAGGTGCAGGGCCGGCAGCAGCGAGGGTGGGAGGAGCAGGCAGAGGGCCCATGATGGGTGACAGGCCCCCGCCCACCTTCACAGGCCGAAAGCCCCGCGCCCCTGCGCCTGCTGTTGCTGCTGTAGCTACTGCTGCCGCTGCTGCGCCCTCTGCTGCAGTGCCCAGCCCAGCGGTGGGCACTGCGAGGAAGCCTGGCACACCCGCTGTGCGTGCCACTCCGGCTGCTGCTCTCACTGCTGCCGTGGGCAGGGCAGCAGGCAGCGCTGCCAAGGAGAGTGCAGCGCGCGAGGAGGGTGGGCAGGCGCGTGACATTGGGAAGGGCAGAGAGCAAGTTGTGTCACAGCGACAGGTGGAGTCAGCAGCTGCAAGAGGAGGGTCAAGCGAAGCAGCAGCAAGAGGAGGAGGAGCAGCGGCAGAGAGAGGGCCGGCAGGGGACAGTGGTGGTGCAGGTGTGCAGGTGTCAGGACATGTAAGCAGCGCGGGGCACAGGAGGAGTGACGAGAGGAGTGGGCAGGGGCACAGCCATGGTGAGGCAGCAGGCACGGCCGGCAGGGTACGGGAGCAGGAGAGGGTGGGGAACGTGAGGCTGAGTGGCAGCGGTGGTAGCTTCAGGCAGCGCGCTGCAGCAGCTGCGGTGGCCGCCATTGCTGCTGCCAGTCCCCCTGGGCATGCAAGCGTGCGTGGCAGCAGGGGAGATGCGCAGGCAGTGAGGCAGGCTGGCACTAATGAGGGTGCGCGAGAGGAGAAGGGCAACAGCACGGCTGATCGTGGTGGTGGTGCTGTGGGTGGTGACAGTCAAGCGAGGATGGCAGAGAGCTCGGTTCTGGAAAGAGGGGCAGGAGGAGGAGGGGAACAGGGTGGGGCAGCAGCGGGAGGAACAGAGGGAGGAGGCGCAGTGGATGGGGCAGCAGGCGCGGGTGCGAGGGCAGCAGTGCAGCGCAAGCCAAGGCCAGCCACGTGGAGCAAGGGCACGGTGGCCGCTGCTGCTGGCCCGCGGCGCACCCCACGGCCGTTCAACATGGGCAGTGCAGGGCGCGCGGGCACCATGGCACAGGCGCATGCTCAGATGCTGCTGGCCCACGGCAGTGCCTCGCACGGCAGTGGCACCAGGCCGGGGGGCAGGGGCGCTCCAGGCAGTGGAGGGCCGGGTGGCAGCAGGGGAGGCGTGCCGCAGCAGGGGGGGCAGCAGGAGGCAGGGCAGAGGGGGGCAGCGGCGCAGGGAGGGGGGGAGGAGGGGAAGGTTGAGGGGGTGGTGGGGGGGGGATCAGGACCCATGGCAACGCCAGCGTCGGTGCTGCGGCCCAAGGCTCTGGCGTTTGGCACAGGGGGCCCTGCGGGGGGCCAGTATGGGGGATCCATGGGGCGGCGAGCAGGGCTCAAGGCCATGAGCGGGTTCAGAGCGCCACTCAGAACGCCCGCTGCTGCTCCCGGCAGCCATGGCAGCGGCGGTGGCACCGCAGGGAGAGAGGTGTGAGGGCACCATGAGGTTATGTGTTGTGCAGATGTTGCGTCGCAGATAAGGTGGTAGGAGAGTTTGGATTAGACCAGTTTCGTGTTACGGTAGTATCAGGAAAATTGGCTCCACACACTAAGTAGAGAGTTGGTTCAGGACGAATGTAGTGCTCAGTCCAAGATGCTTTGGGCTTTAGGAATCAGTAGCTGTTGGATTTCTCTGACTTGATGCGATTCATTAAGCTGCTGACACACTAATGGCACTGGTCAAAAGCTACATTCTACTCTACTCTATTTACATGAGCTATTCACATGCACACTGCCATGATGCCTTCTTGTCTTTACAAGTAGGGACTTCCAAGCAGTGAGAGTGAGCAAGCATCAGGTGGGGGAAGCATGCAGGATGCGCACGGCGAAGGCATCTCGGATCTTCTGCACGACAATGACTCGGTCGCGGCCTCGCACCACCCCCATGGCGCCCGCTCGCTCCAGTGCCGCCTGCAGCACCCACTCCTCTGGCGTCCATGCATTGCTGCTCGCCTGCCATGCTCCATGTGGGGGAGTGCACGGGCACATGGGTGACAAGAGAATGGTGGCGCATGGAGGCATGCACATGGGGGTGCCTCTCACCCATGCACTTGCAAGTGCTTCCATATAGACTATTGACTAGACTTGCCTTACCCACCCACCCATTTGTCTCCCTCCCATGCACTGCACCACCCTACACTACATGTGCCGACCCTCCCTTCTTCCATAATAGGCCGATACCTCCTCCCAACCCCATTGCCGCTTGACTCACGTGGGTCATGACGTCAGCAAGGATGGGGAAGAGGCCGCGCACTGCGAGGCACTGGTGTGCCTGCTCGCATGGCCAGGGCAGCAGCGGCAAGGGGGGAAGGGGAGCGAGGGGTTGGGAGGTGGGGCGAGGAGCAGGTTAGGAGAGGTGTGCAGAGAGAGAGCTATGGGGACATGAGCAAGAAAAGACCTGTGACTGAGAGCTTGTGGGAGTGAGCGGCTATTGCAAGAATGGCAAATGTTCAGCGCATTGGTATGCGTGTGCCACTCTCGTGCTCGTACTCGTGTGCCAAGGGGGCTGTGCACTGGAGTGGGCGCGTGTGAGGGGGAGGCAGACCTGGAAGGGTCCCATGAGGTGCCAGGACAGCTGGTCCGTGGACACATGCGGTACCATCAGCGCCAACACCGGCATGGACGGCTTGTACTTGCACACGAGCCTGCTAGGGCGCGTGGGGGTGGGTGGAGGGAGTGAGGGATGTGCGCATGGTAGTTGCATCGTGGCATGGGCATAGAGAGGTGTCGCGCATGGCACATGGCGCAGATTGTGCTACGGTGCAATGGCTGCTGCTGCCACTCGTTTGCACCCACCCACTCCTGAAGTCATCCATGTGAAAGGCATGGCAGCGCAGAGAACAGCACGGCAGGGCAAGGCAGTACTTTTGAGGCATCTAAATAATGTGCACCTGGCAGCGCCTAGCAGCACCTGGCAGTATGGCCGGAGGAGGTGAAGGCGATGATGGCAGCAGCGCGCACCTTCTCTGCCGTGCGCACCTGCGGGGCATGCACGGGGGCGAGCAGCAAGGACGAGCAGGGATGGGGGCGTAGCTTGTGCAGCGGAGGGGAGGGAGCAGGCGGGGTGCGAGCGGCAGCAAGAGGGCACAGCAGGTGCAACGGTGCGACGAGTGCGTAAGTGGTGAGCTTTGCAAAGATGGATGGTGTATGGATGAATGCGATGGCGTGGCGGTGGGTGCAGGAAGGCAGAGCGATGACTGTAGAGGCGGGTGAGAAGAGAGGAGCAAGGGGGGGCGCACAGCGGAGGCGCAGATGATCTCGAGGTGTGACACGGGGTCGGGGAGTGCGTTGATGGTTCTGTTGAAGTGCCCCGCGTTGTTGAACACGCGCTCCGCCTGCCATGCCATGCCATGCCATGCCATGCCCCATGCCATGCCACACAGCACGGTGGGGTGGGGGCGGGGCAGCTGTGAGGATGCTGGAAAGCGTGCGGGTGCTGGTAGGTGTGGGCATGCTGTGCTGCTGTTCATATCACTGCTGCTGGCGGGCACGATGTGGTGTGGCAGCAGCGAGCAGCAGCACCCCACCTGAGCGCAGATGTGTCCTACAGTGGCCACCGTGTCAGCGGGAAACAGCCCCCTCAGCGTCTCCGCTCCCAGCAGCACCGCATCCGCTCCTGGGGCCGTTGCCGCAGTTGGGGAGGGGGGGGGAAGGGGGGAAAGGGAAGGAGAGGGAGGAGGAGATGATAGCGAGCAGGATTCAAATGTGTGGCAGTGCCGTGTCGGGCAAGCAGTGCGGCTCACCATCACATACACTCACACTTGCTCACTCCGCACTACTCGTGCCCACCCACACGCCAACAAGACTTGTGAATCAAACTTGCCTAATCCTACCACTCCCCATGACCGCCTGTCCCCCCTACCTTCCATCCCCCCCTGTCCGCCCAGTACACCCCCACCCGCCCCTCCCCCCCACCATCGAGCACGGCGTTGGCGACGTCAGTGGCTTCAGCGCGCGTGGGGCGGGGGGAGAGCACCATGGAGTCGAGCACGCGCGTGATCACGGCGGGCTTGCCGCGCACGTTGCACTGCGCCACGGCCCACTTCTGCACGCCAAACACCTTCTCCGGTGGCACGTCGATGCCCAGGTTGCCGCGCGACAGGATGATGCCGTCCGCTGCCTCTGCGATGCTTTCAAAGTTCTTCAGACCCTGCTCTCGTGGGTTCCACAGGCCAAGTGTGGGGGTGCGGAGGGCAGGGGGGAGTGTGCAAGTGAAGAAGACAACTGTATCAGTGCAGGTGTTACTGCTGGTAGTGTGCTGAACGGGTGAGTTGGTTCGGTGGGCCAACTCACCCACACACAGCCCCCCAGGCGATTTGCGTTTACCCAAGCTCCAGAAATCACACCCACAACGCAACCCCCGCGCTCCTCTCGCAGCAACGACTCAGGAGGACGAGGGCGCAAGAGGTAGGCGCATTGAAGTGGAGTGTGAGCCACCAGAAATACTGGTACGTACACGTATCGCCTACTTGTTATTATACTGCCGAGTTGACCATTTAGTCTAGCCAGGCAAGCGAGCGTGCAATGAACCCGTTTTCCCACGTGAGAGCGCGGCACCTGCATGTTCTCGACCTTGGCGTAGATGTGCGTCTGACTCAGGTCGCCCAACGAGTCCAGCAGCTCCCTCGTCTGTACGCAGTGCCACGGCCATACAGCATGGGCATGGCCGTGAGCATGGGATGGGCAGGGGCACGGGCATAAGCGCATGTGTATGGGCATGCACATGGGCATATGGGCATGAGCATATGGGCATGGCACATGTGCATAGACATGGGCATGGGCATGGGCATGGGCATGGGCATGTGCATGTTGTTCTTACTTGCTGGCTTATACGAATTCAAGCTCTTACAGCTATGAAACAATAGGGCATTTGGCAGTAGGGCACGGTGGCATGGGCACGAGACACGTGGCCACAGGCATATGCCAATGTGAAACACATACGAGTGTGCTCGCCCTTGCCTCACTCGCAATGCGGCATTCTCCATCATGCCAGCGCGGCTCTGATACCATTGCTCCCACCAGCACGTCTCACTGTGTGCCTTGCACTGCAACGATGCACCCACTCACCTAGCTCCCCACCCCACAGCGCGTGCCCACCTGTGCGACGTCGTCCGGGTGGCGAGTGAAGGAGAGTGAGATGATGTCCACGTTGTTGCGCCGCCCCCACGTCGCTATGTGCTGCCGGTCCGCTGCTGTCAGCGTCGGGATGTCGATGCGCACCTGACGCCGTGCCGTGTTGGGGGAATGATGGGGGGAGTGAAACAGGGAATGTGGAGGTTTATAAGCGATAAGACATTAGGGTGGGCAGGGAGGTGTAAGCTGTGTGATGAGACCACACGAGATGCAGGAATGCCATGCACACATAAGGCAGGAAACAAGCAGCATGCCCCATTCCCCCATGCCCCCATGCCCCCATGCCCTCATGCCCCCATGCCCCCATGCCCTCATGCCCCCATGCCCCCATGCCCTCATGCCCCCATGCCCTCAGCATGCAGGGCAGTTCGTCTCACCCTCGCAGCGTGCGCGGTGAAGAAGTGTCCAGCGAGAGTGGCGCTGTTGCGGATGCAGCACACCACGTCCGCGCCTCGAGTCTCCCGCACCTGATGCCACGCACCAACGGCACCTCCCATGCGTCACATAACTTGTGCGAGGTTGCACACTGCAACATAAAGAGCATGACTTGAGCTTGCACCACACGGCATGACGAGGCACGTGGCAGCACAAGGGGCGAGGGCGCGCACCTGCAACCAGACGGAAGTGGTTTCGGCGCCCGTGAAGAGGTACTGCCCCACGAAGATCTCGTCCCCCGCCCGTACTGCCTGCCAGTGGGGCTCACACCACCCGGCGTGCAGTGGCGCATGGGTCGAGGTGAGTGAGGGGCAACAGAGGGTACCACACACTGTGGTGCAACATCATGATGCTTCCACGGTGGGTGCCATGGGAAAACACCCGCCACACCACCCCACTACCAAAAGCCCCCTGCACCCAAAACCCAACAAGCCCAGTCCCCCAGTGCAGCGAAGCGAGTGCGGCAGTGCACCTGCGCGAGGCCGTGGAAGGAGAGCGGCAGGCAGGAGGCGGAGGCGGCGGAGCAGGCGGGCGAGAGCGTGATGTCTTTGCCCGCCGTGAGCGTGATGGGCGCCCCCCCGGGGTTGGCGATGATGAGCTCCGCACCCACCGTGTCCAGCATCACCTGCCATGCCATGGCGCCGCCCACCATGCATGCATGGCGGCAAGGGTGGCACAGCCAACGCTCATGCCAGGAGCAGCAAGAGCGATGTGGGGAGAGGATACTCGAGGGACCCACGTGCGTCAAAGCACTATGATGCGCATAAATGCATGAGCCAGCCGCTATGCATGCGCCAAGAGGCATGAGGCATGTGCGCGTGCATGGCAGCGTGCAAGCATGAGAGCGTGCGTGCATGGCAGCGTGCAATCATGACAGCGTGCGTGCATGGCAGCGTGCAATCATGACAGCGTGCGTGCATGGCAGCGTGCAATCATGACAGCGTGCGTGCATGGCAGCGTGCGTGCATGGTAGCGTGTGTGCATGTCGTACGGCGCAGAGTTTCTTGGTGCGGCGCATGGCGATGCGCAGGTTATCGAGCGTCTGCTGGTGGTATTCCGCGTCGCCATGGGAGAAGTCGAAGCGCGCCACTTGGGAGGGGCGAAAATGACGAGAGGGGTGGTGGAGAAGCGGACATGGAGTGGTGTGACGGAGCAGTGCAGCGGAGTGTGCATGCGATGTCACTCATAAGCTCTCTCCTCGCAAATGGACGTTCGTTCCGAGCGCTGGATTAACAAGGGCAATGACGAACACTGCAACTACTGTTGACCGCCTCACTCCCCACCTGCCCGCCACGCACCTATGTTGGAGTACTGTTAAGGTTTCTAAAAGGCGACGCGAGGAGCATCGCCACCCACCCGTCATTCCCGCGAGAAGCAGCGCCTCCAGGGCCTCCACGCTGCGGCTCGTGCCGCCCACCGTGCCCACCACCTTGGTCAGCGACGGCACCGCGGCGCGCTGCTGAGTGGGGGAGGAGGAAGTGGTACAAGAGTGCGAGGGAGGTAGACTGCACGATACCATGTGCAAGAAGGGGCGCGGAAAACACGTGACATGATAAATGGAGCATTAATACATGGTACACGGATGGCTCGAGGATGGAAGCCAGCCGAATCGGCTCCTCCAGGAGCAAGTTTCGTCCCTGCGAGACAAGCCGTGATGGGTGCGTTAGAACGTGTTAACATATGCCACTGCGACTGAGGAGTCTCACAAGCAGAGCTAGCAATGATGTCATGGAAAAATCCGGGTCTAAGCAGATTGTGTGAAGAACGGTTACCGTAAGTGGCGGCATTTTGCGTGGCGTCGACGGCGAGTGGCAGGGAGTGTAGTGGCTGATGATGGCAGGCGAGGGAAGCGGGCGATTGAGGATTTGTTGCGGCCGTGATGGACACGAATTGGCTTGGAGAGTTGTTGGTGGTGAAATTGGAGGGGCGGGGAAATTCAGAAATCGGACCGCATGTGAATGCCACTATAGAACGGTCCACATTGCGCGGCTCGAAGTGACACGTGTCCTCATTGCATGAGCTGAAAGGGATTATTTTTGCATTGGCAAATGAACACTTGCAGAAAGCCACCAGATATTCCAGCACTATATTTTCTTGATCCATTTTAAATTAAATATTACTGGTCAATGAAACTGATGCAATGAACAACACCCAGATTAGAGAGCATGTGACGATCAGAGCACGTCTGGCAGTCAGTTAGCAGAAAGGCACTTGAATTCCATTAGCACTGCCGCTGTTGAGAAGCCCCTTCCACCCACAGGCCATGACGACCCTCCCACTCACCCCCCACAGCAGGGCTCACACAACTCGACCTCACAGGCTCGTCACAGCGGGGCCATCCCTGGTAATGACAAGAAGCTTCGGCAGAGAGGAGTGGAGGGTGCGCAAGGCAACAGAGCGATAGCAGGTGGGGCTGGTCAGAGGGGAAGACTGCGGGTGCGAGAGCAAGGCCACAGCAGGCAGGGTGGCCATCAGTGGCACGCGGGCCCTTGGTCCTCAAAATGGGCAGCGCCGCACCGTGGACGCGGCCGTGCGCAGACAGTTGGGGTTAAATGAGGGTCAGGATATGTAAGGGAAATGAAAGCGAAGTCGCGCACGCGCAAGCGAGCGAAATACAGAGAAGCGCGGACAGCTTTAGGATGAGGTTCTGGAAGGAGTGAGCTAGCGAACTGGGTGGGGGTGCACAGGCTGGAAGGCAGGCAGGGAGAGGCAGCGGAATGGCGGAGCGGGACAGGCATGTGATGCAAGAGGGAGGGGGAATAGGGGGGTGGATGGTGTAAGATACAGTTGATGTCATGTGAGATGTGAGCCTGTTCATGTCAGCTGTTGCTCCCGCTTCACCACCCAGCAACATGTGGTGCTGCCACGTCATGAGTGCTGCCACGTCATGAGTGCTGCCATGTCACGTGGTATAAGCAACGATCCATGGATGACCTGGTGCAGGGAGTGAGGGGAGGGGAAGAGAGGGAGGACAGAGGGTTAGGAAGGTGAGGAGAGGGGGAGCAAGCAGTGGATGCACAGCCATTGAAAAGAAACACACAGCACGGATGACACGGGCAAGTGTGAGGCCCACCCACGGGGTCAAGGCAAGGCAAAGAGCGTGCGGTAGCAGCATGGCGCGGCACAGGGGCGGGCTTACGCAGGATGGCTTCCACGGTGATGCGCTTGGCATAGTTCTTGCAGAGCATGCGGCGCACGAGGTCCTTTGCGGCGTCCGACACCTGGGGCCAGGGCTCGGTGTCAAAGTCAAGGTGCCCCCACAGCACGCTCTTGAAGATCTCCTCGGTGGTGTCGCCCCAGAAGGGCGGCAGGCCGCACAGCAGGATGTAGAGGATCACCCCCGCGCTCCACACGTCCGCCTCCACGCCATAGTTCTTGTTTATCACCTCGGGCGCGATGTAGTTGGGCGTGCCCGCGCGGAACGTGCACCGCTCGCCTGGTGGTGCCCCACCGCACACAATCGGGGACAGAGGGAAGGAGGATTGGGATAAATGAATGAACTGGAGCAACATGGCAAGGAGGGTGGTACATGTGGTGTGGGATGGGGCGGGAGGGGGTAATGAGGAAAGGGCAAGGATGAGGCGTGCAGGCGCTGCGCGCATGATCATGTGTGACTGTGACGAGATTGAGGAAGCAAGGTAAATACGAAGGGATTGTGGGGGGGGGGGGGGGGGGGGTTAAGAGGTTCATAACTTTGCAGTATCGGGGGTGTAGGAGGGAGGAAAGGAGCGAGTTGAGAAGAAAGCGAGTTGAGAGGAATGCGAGTAGAGGCGTGGGGGTGGTACCTGGTTGGAAGATGTAGGCCATGCCGTAGTCAATGACCTTGACGCGCGTGTCGCTCCTCTTGCTGGTGAGCAGGATGTTTTCGGGCTTGAGGTCGCGGTGCAGCACGCCGTGCGAGTGGCAGTGCTGCAGCACGTCCACCACCGTGCGGATCACCTTGGCCGCCTGCCGCTCGCTGTAGTAGCCCTTGTCCTGAATGCGGTCAAACAGCTCGCCCCCCTCACACAGCTCCATTATCAGATGCACCTCCTGCTCCACCCACACACACACGCACGCCATGCACGCACGCGGACAGAGTGAGAGTGGTGCAAGGGAGAGAGGTGATGGGGTGAAGGGTGGTAGAGGCAGGAGGTGATGAGGGAAGATGGTGTGGTGATGGTGTGAGTTCACGAAGCCACGGCACGGCCATGACAGGCCAGCATGGCTACACGCGCAGCCTCAAGGAGTGGGGTGTGATGAGCACAGGCCAGCGGAGGAGCAGCGCGGGTGAGGGCATGGGATGGAGGGTACCTTTTGCGACTCGACGGTGTGCACGAGCTTGATGACGTTGGCGTGGTCCCTGAGCATCTCCATCACCTGCACCTCCCGCCGCACGTCCTCCACGTCCTCCCAACACTGCCACCACATCACATCAGCCCACATGCACACATACGCACACAAGCAGCATGCAAACACAAGCCAGAGGAACACCAAGGCATGAAATGCGATGTGGCACATAGGTGTCTGGATGCGTGATTGCATAATGCACTTGTGCTGTATCCTCACACCATTTCAAAGCACTCCTCACGTCACCCCTCCCGTCCCCACCCCCCCCCCCCCCCTTCCCCACTTCTTCCCCCCCCCCCCGTCTCCCCTTCTCCCATCCCCCCCCGGTGCTCACCTCCAGGTTCTTCTTCTCAATGGTCTTGCACGCGAACCGCTCCCCGGTGTCGCGCTTCTCGCACACGCGGATCACCCCGAAGTTGCCACGGCCGAGCTCCTTCCTGGACAGCCGGTACAGCTCGCTCAGCTCCACCACGTCCTTCTGCAGCACGTTCGCCGTCGCCGGCGTCTCCTCCACCTGCTCCTCCTCCTCCGCACCGCGCGGGCTGCCCGCCTCGCCCGACTTGGCGCTGTAGTAGTAGTCGCTCACGTTCGGCGTGCGCGGGGGCGCGGCGGGCGGGGGAGAGAGGGAGCCGGGGCGGGGCGAGGCGGTGGGCGTGGAGACGGGCGTGGAGCGCTGGAAGTTCTGCAGCGCCCACAGCTTCTCGGGGTCTAGAGGTACCATGGGGCTGGCCAGTGGACTCACGCCCTCGCGCGGACTCGCCATGTTGAACGGCGAGTTGATGCCGCTGCGCGGACTGGCGTGCGTGGGCGTGCTGGCGGACGCGGTGGCAGTGGCGGTGGAGGAGGACACGCGGGGGCTGACGGCGGTGTTGCTGTGCGGCACGCTGATGGACATGCCGCCACGCACCTTGAGCTTCAGGTTCGTGCTCAGCGGGATCGACCCGTCCGGCCCCACCGCTGCTGCTGCCGCCGCCGCCGCTGCTGCGGCCGTGGCAGCTGCAGCGCTGGTGGCAGCAGCGGCGGGTCCCTGGTTGGCGAAGGCACCGACCTTGATGTGTTTGGCGCTGCCGTGCCCGCCTGTGCGGATGGCGGACAGCCCTGCTCGCACCGCCTCCACGCCCATGCTGCTCGCCATCGCACTCCCCACTCCCCCTCCCGTCGCCCCCGCCCCACCACTCTCGCCATCCCTTCCTCCTCCGCTGCTCCCCACCCGTCCCGCCGTGCCCCCCCCGCCAGCCGCCTTGCTAGCACCTGCGCCCGCCTTGCCCTGTGCGCCCTGCGCGCGGGCGTGCGCGCTGCCCCCGCTGCTGACCACGGCGTCGCTCTGCTGTGCGCCCGCCAGGAAATTGAGCGCCAGCGCCTGGGGGCCGTTCGCGCCCAGATTCGGCGCCATGCTCGCGCCCGCCACGGCGCCCCAGATGCCCCCGCCGCCCACGAAGTACCCCGGACCCGCGCTCTCACTGCGCCTGTGGCGCGGCTTGGGGCGCGCATCCGCGGGCGTGGGCTCCTCAAACGGGCGCAGCCTGTTGGTGCCGCCGCTGCCTGCTGCCGCCGCCACCGCCGCTGCTGCACTGCCGCCAGCATTCGCGCTGCCAGCACCACCGCCGTAACTCCCCCCTCCACCGCGCATAGGCGCGCCCCCCTGTGCCCCACCCACCGCGGAATCGCCATTTCCCCCGTACTTACGTCCCCCGCGCATGTCTCCTTCCCCGCCAATCCCTTGCCCTCCGCCCACGGCCGCCACAGCAGCGGCGGCGGAGCTGAAGTAGGTACCGCTGGCGCTGCGCGCAGTCATCCGCATCGGCGGATTGCGCCCGGCGGGACGGCTGGCTGCTGGGGAGGTCTGCGCGGGCGAGGCGGAAGCTGCCCCCGACGAGCCCTGGGCAGTGGAAGAGGTGGAAGACGCGGGATGCTGGCGCGTGGAGGAGGCGCGCGGAGGGGAGTGGGGCGGGGAGGAGGAGTAGGAGGGGGAGACGGCGGAGAGGCGGTGCGCGGAGAGCTTGAGCTGCTGCTCCAGCGCCTCCTCCGTGATGGGCTGCCCCGCCTTGCCCTTCGCCTTGCGCCCCCACACGCCGCCGTCCTCCTTGCCCCCCCGCGCGCCGCTCCCCATGTCGCCGGGGTCCGGACTGCCGTCCGTCGACCGCGACCGGTCCACTCCGCCGCCTGCCAGCCCCGCCGCCCTGCGCACGCCGCCGCTGCTGTTGGGGCGCGGCAGCGCCTGGGGGCGAATGTCCGCGCCTTCCCGTACGCGACCTGCCACGGCCTCCGCTGCGCCGCCCCACGCCCCGTCGCCTTTCCCCGACCCCCGCCCCGAACCCGCGCCCATTGCGGCGCGCGGAGCTCCACTCCCCGACGGCGCTGGCCTCCCCCCAGCCGCGGGCGAGCCCACCCGCGCAGCGCGCGGAGGCTGGTGATCGGCGGAGTCGAAGGAGAGGCGCGCAACGTCAGGGGGGGAGCGCATAGGGGAGTCGTCGTCGGGCCAGGGGCTTGACTGCGAATCGTGCGACCGACGCCGCATCTGCTGCTGCTGCTGCTGGGGAGGGGGGGCGAATTGCTGCTGCTGCCACTGTTGTTGTTGCTGCGCCGGCGGCTGCTGGTATTGCTGCCACGGCTGTTTCTGCGCGCTCGCACCGTAGCCCTGCGACTGCTCGTCGCCCGCCGCATCGCCCGGCGACGACAGAGCCTTCATGCTCCGTGGTCGCATCAAAACCTTTTCCCCCGCGCCCCGCCCCATTCCCTGTGCCTGCGCGTCTCTTTGAGCCATCCCCATTCCCCCCAGCTGTTCCTTGTGGCTCTGGCTCCCCACCATGCCCGCTCCCGCGCGCATGCCCCCGCCAGTGGCGCGGACGGGGGAGTCCGGCGAGCGGTCGTGGTCGTGGGCATGCGACGGCACGGCGGACACGGACCGCGACGAGGGGAATCGGTGGGTGATTTGTGCGCGCCGCTCCTTGCCGCTTCCACCCCCGCTATAGTCCGCAAACCGATCGCCTACCCCTTCCAGCGGGCTTCGCGCCGCGACGTGCTGCCCCGACCCACCGCTACCGCCGCTCATCCCGCCTGGCATGGACCCGCCACCGCCATTCGCATTGCCGCCGTACCCGCTTCCGCGCACAGTGCTTCCGCTGGGACCAGCTCCGCCGGTCACTGGCCCTCCTTGAAAGCGGCTGCTGCCCGCCCCGCCTGCCGCGCCGCTGGTCATGGGTCGCGCCACGGGGCTCCGGCCGCCCGGTGGCCCCCCTGGCGACCCCCCACCTCCGGACATGGCGGGGGACTGGCCCGCGTGGTCCTGCGCGAGCATGCGGTGAAATATCGACGCGTCCTCCGACCGGATGCGCCGGTGCCGCGCGCTCTGCTTCAGCGCTGCCACCGGACCCGCCGGCGACCCGTAGCGCGCCTCCCCCGCCTGGGCGCCCGCGGGCCCCGAGGAGCTGGGCGCGGGGGCGTAACCCTTGGCGGCAGGCGCCAGGGGAGAGGGGAAGCCGGAGGAGGCGGAACGAGAGGAGCGGGGCATGGGCTGGCGTTGCGGCGAGGAGGAGAGACCGTCTTGCGAGTGGTGGTGGTGCTGCTGAGGCAGCATCTGTTGCGACTGACGGGGCTGCTGCGGCTGCTGCATTGACGGCTGCGAGCTGTGCCCCTCCGCTCGCGCCTTGGCAGGCGGCTGTTGGTAGTGCTGATGCGCATGGGCCTGTTGCGACGCCTGGTACCTCGAGTGCTCCTGGTAATGCCCCTGCTGCTCGTCGTAGTGCCCCTGCTGACCCTCGTCCTCCTCGTACGAAAGCTCTCTTCTCGTCGAGTCGTCACGGCCCCACTCATTCTCTCTCCCCCGCTCGTACTCTCGCTCCCTTTCTCTCTCGCGCTCCAACCGCTCCCTCTCCCGCACGCTGCCGCTCGCCACAACGCGTTCACCGCGCTCCCGCGAGCTCCCCGTGCCCCTGTCCGCGCGATCGCGCTCACGAGAACTGCCCGCACTCCTCTCGCCACTCGTTCGCTCGCTGTCCCTGAAATTGCCGCGCTCCCCTCGGTGCATGTCGCTCTCCTTCCAGCTGCCACTCCTCTCCGACTCCCTGCTCCTCATCGCCTCTGCCTCTCTCTCGCGCCCCTTTCCGTACTCCATTGCCCCGCCCCTCTCTCGCCCACTGCCCCTCTCGCGCTCGCCTTCCCTCCAATCCCGCACGGGAGCATCTCGCTGCCGCTCCCTGTCTCGCTCGTACGCTCTCTCGCGCTCCCAATCCCGCTCGCCGTGCCCCTCCGTGTCTCTGCCCATGGACCCAGCGCGCGAGTACGAGTGCGAGCGGCGCGACACGGGCTGCACCATGGCAGACTCACCGGTGGGCGAGGCGTCGTCGTACGCGGCGTGGTCCTCCTCCTCGATGCTCGGGATCTCCGACAGCATGTACTGCGGGTGCTGCCGGTACCGATTCGACGTCGCCTGACCCGTCGCCGAACCGCCTTGAGGATTGCCGCCGTGATGGGCGCGCGGGTCCGCGGCTTGCTGAGCCGCCATGACGTGATCGAAGAGGTAGCCATCGTCCGACCTCACCCTCCGATGCCTGGCCGGCCGCAAAGGCCGCGGAGGCACGGAAAAGGAGAAGTCACCCCCTCCCCCGTGCATCCCCAATTATACTCCAGACGTCGCCTTCGCCTCAGGCTCCAGTGCAGCCGAAGGGCAGTGCAGTTAGTAATTTCCCACTATGGGATCTGCCTAAAATAAATAGTCGAAATTAGGTTATTCGTTAAACTCTCATAATAAACGGTTAATGGTTAGGGACAGCCATTATTAGGTGATGCTGGATGAACATAAAGGGTGTTGCACTGGCTGCATTGGACCCGTCTGCGCCAGGGGCAACTATGGCAACAGTAAGTCAGTGAACTAAGTAGCACTCTTGTTCTGTGGGGCTGTAGGTGGAGTATGAGGGAGCTGTCACCTGGGCGGAAATAATGAAATTGCGCGCGTAACCAGGACTAGGGAGAGAAGCATGAACAAACGTTCACACACAAACAGCGCTGTGGTGTTTCCCCCTCCATGCCCAACCCACCCACCTTCCCCTCCCCGCTATCGCGATGCCTGATTCCTTCCAAGGCTGAGGTAAGCGCACGGCGTACGGCCCACAGCGACTCTCATGTCTGGGAGAAACCAGCAGAAGCAGGCGTGCGCCCATGCCGCGACCTCGAGCTTGGGCAGTTGTCGCGATGCACTGTCATCGCCCAATAGCCTCCACCGACTGCCGGCTGCTGGGGCGCTGAATATTCTCATTCAATTGGTGCGGAGCAGAACCCCTGTCAAGTACGAATATAATAATAAAGTTTACACACATCATCATGATAAACCCGACACTGTACTTGAGACGGGCAACAGACGAAAAGCAGTTTTTTTCGTCGGGTAGCATGGTAAGGAATCCGAGCCAAACCAACTAAAAAAAAAAAGAAGTGGCGCAAGCCAGACCGTCCCATACCATTTCTCCCCTCACTTCCATACCGCCACCAATCCCTGATGTTTATCTAGAGAGCCCAGGGAAGCTCCTTGCCAGCACAGCGGCCCCCCATGGGCACTGATGGAGGCAGAGCTGTCGCCACCGAGTACATTGCAGAAAATGTAACACAAATAAAGATCCGCTTTACAAACTGAAGTACTTTATTCAATCTATGGCATTCTAACAGCAAAAAGATAACAGTTTTATCGCACAGTGGCCATGTCAAGTCCCCGGGACATTTTAAGAGATTTATGATTCTTCAGGAATAAACAGCCCAGTAACCACTTTGTATTGGTAACGTCTTTCCCTACCATCTACTACACCACCATATCTGATCCCCTTGCCCGACTAGTCAAATTATCTGACTTAACCCCTCAATCGGTCTTGCTAAACTCTTCCCTCCCTCTCAGCAATGCTCTTGCTCCTATCCCCCCTTGTCTACCTCTTTGTTCCACACCATGCCATGCCAACTGTCTGCTACATCAACGCCAGGTTCTCCACATCCATGCACCTCTCTCGGACTAGAAGCGCAGCGAAGCCACCTGGTGTGGCGTGGCAACGATAAGAGGAGCCTCTGGGAGCGATGGGCCTGCATAGTCATCATGCATGAACTTGGACTCAATCACTGACTCATCGCGAGGGGCCACGCGGTAGCATGTGCACTCCTTGAGGCGCCCAACCTGGCGCGTGTAGCACTCATGCTCAAGCTGCTTGACTCGGCGGAAGGGCCAAACGACAGTGTACTTGTCGACTGTTGCCACAATGTGCTTCTCCTGCCGGTCACTCTCTGTCACCTGTCCACGCCAGCCACACACAATGGAAAAGGGAAGCAACAGATTTCAAAAATGGAGAAAAAAGAGTTACAGACAAGATTGAACCATACCCCAAATGCCCTAGGAGCCACACCAAACCCAAGTGTCCCAGCTTACCCACGAGAAGCGGGCATGTTGGAATTTGAAGTTCCCAACAATCTGTGCATGCTCAGGGGTTAGCTTCAGCAGCCTCGCTGCAGCGAGGTTGCCACCAGCCCTGGCAACAAAGGCAGAGCGTTCCTTGCCCTCCTTGTCCCTGAAGCCCGTGCAGATGAGAATGAGCTTCTTGTCCGTGGTGGCGATCACCCACCGCCCGTCATATGTCACATCAATGTGCGTGATGGCGCCCCCAAGGCCCTGGAACGTTGTCTTTGCCTGTGAGCCACAACAAACATCCGGCATAAGAATCCGGCACCAACATGGACAACACAGAAAATGGGACTCATGAGCAGTGAAAAAAGGAGCAGACGAGGGCATGAGGAGCAGACCTGGCGCATGGAGGTTGTGGAGTACAGGCGGATCTTGCCATCCCGTGATCCAACTGCCACGCACCCGTCGCCTGTGGTGGCGAAGCACTGGAAGTTGGTGCCCCGCGAAAACTGGTGCCCATCAGACCATGTCAGCGTGGCTGGCGAGGCCAGGGTGGAAGCCAGTGTCTGCACTCGGCCTGCCTTGTCACGCATGTCCCAGCGGCACAGGCGGTTATCATCCAGCCCAAGGAACGTGGACACGCCCGCCTGCAGCTGCGCGGCCTTGCTGTCGCCTGTGATATCGAGCATCTTGATCTCCGTGCCGTCCTTGTCAAACTTCCACTCCGTCACCACCTTCTGCGCCTGGATGTCCAGCTGCCGCACCCCTGCCGCATGAGCAAGGCTGGGCGAGCCGGTGGGAGCTGTAGGGGTCATGAGCAGCATGGTGGATTCGCGGTTTAACAGCACGCTCTTGGTCCCCGGGGCGGGCGTGCTGCTGTCCTTCATGCTCATCTTCTCCAGCGCGATGCTCAGCCCGTCCACGTGGTGCACGCCGTCCTCGCGGTTCTTGTACACGTCGATGCCGCCGTCGTGGATCAAGTAGCTGTTCGCCAGCGCGCCCATGGCGAAGCCCAGCGGCTTCTTGCCCTTGGGCGTCTCCTCGTAGCTTTCCGTGATGGACGACTCCTTGCGCGACGACGGCGACAGCGCGCCTTCTCCGTCCGGCAGCTCCTCCGCGGCGTCCTCCCACATCGCTCCCTCCGCATCCTCCCCCTTGGCCCACCCCACGAACTCCTTCCCCAGCACCTTGGCGGCGTTCGCCTCGGTGTACGCCATGCCGTGAGTGTTCTCAAAAAGACAAGCGTCGTACTGCCGGCAGAAGTCAGCATACTCGTCGTCGGTCGCGAATTTGATGGCCCACACGTTCTTGAAGTCCGTGAAGTCCACACGGCGCTGCTGGTCGTTGAACTGGATATTCAACCGCTCGTCCACCCGCACGCAGATCCTCCCTGCCACAACGAAGAACCAGTACCCCTCGTCGTCGTCCTCGTCCTCCTCCTCGCCTTCGGGCTTGTAATCGTCGTCGTCCTCATCGTCGTCGTCATCGTCGCGCGTCTTTTGCGGAGGGTTCTGCGTGAACTTCCAACCAATCGACTTGTCCGCCAACTTATAACGAATGCTCCCGTCCGGGCCCTTAGTGGAGCGCCAAAGCCGCGTCGCTGGAGCCTTCTTACTCGAACTTGGAGAAGCCACCGTCGCTGACGGGGAGGCTGCAGCCGGGTGAGGTGCAACGGCGGTCTCGTAGTCATCGTCCAATGTATCAGGACGGCTATGATCAGCCCCCATGCTGATTGGCAAGAGTCGAGGTAGCAGGACTTCACAGAAACTTGAACAATAAGAAAAGAGGCGGAACTATCAGGTCGACGCGTATCAGGCGGAACTATCAAGTCGAACAACTGTTACGATCTCTGGCGTGAGAGCGAAGTTTGACGCTGCTCTCCAGCTGCGAAGTGATATGCTTTCGAGGTTGCTAGGGACCAGAAACAGATGATCTCGAAGCTCTAGGTGCCAAGGTGAAATTTGGGGGCCTGGATGCGCACTCTTGGGGCTGACACACGGATCGAGTCAGAAACTCCCGCGCAAAATTGCTCAGCATATCGAAGATTTTCAGCGACCCCTTTTGATTGAATGCAGCGGTATACAGCATGATTTGTTCTTTTCTAAGCGGCACACTCTATAACGGTGAAATGGAAAATTGGAAAACTCCACTAGTAAAACACCTGTCACAGTTAGAACTACCTCATATCTTCTTTGAGAACACAAAATAAATACATTGTGACTTTTTGCAGTGCGGCCATGCTAAGACAGCCTCCAACTTTTTAGCTGAACCCTTTGCATGCACCTTGGCATGGCTTGCACACTGCATTTTGCGTTCAGAGGTGTTGCTCCTGCTATTACCAGTTTCAGATATAAAGAGCCATGCGTAATGGTCTATTAGTGGGCTTCCAGATTCAAGGTGATACGTTGTTCAACAACTCTGACGTTGCTTTTAGTCTACCAACAACCAGCCCCATTTGTGCTGGTCCGATAGGTAGAAACGGAGGACGGAAGCCCTTTGGAAGCTTCTCGTCTCGTAGGAATGAAATCAGCGAGCCCAGGGGAATGGCTCTACCTCTTAGAGGGTCGCCCAGGATCGCAAAAAGAAATGCGGCCTCGCCCAGCCCAATCACATCCTGCTTCGGGCCAAATGTCAAATCCGGGTTGTTGGCACGGCTGTCAGCCAACCGCCTTTTCCTGAACATCGCCATATCTTGCATGGTCAGGAACTTGCCGTCGCTCGAGCTGGACTCCAGTTGGTTGATCATTGTCTGATTGACGGCGTAATTGTTGCCCAGCCGGGCGTCGTCGCGGACCAGTGAGACGTCGTGCTCGATCTTGTTGTGTATGCGGAGCTTTACAGGATCCACACGCCCATTCGTCGTCAAGCCTAGAGCCTTCGCACCAGCGTAAAAGCCTAAAGTTAGGGACGGGGACACGGATAAGAACTGGCGAAACCCGAGCAAAAGGCGCGAGAGCGGCACAGGCGATCCATCTCGCGGAAAGACACCGTGATTCGCCATCGTGTTAAACGCTGGACACGGCCCGCGTGCATCATTGGGTCCTGGCGGAATGTATTTGCCTAGTTTGAGCCCAAACCCGTGGCAGGTGCTACCGCAGGCTATAACAGCATACAACAGAACTGCTGCGAGGGCCATGGTGCGACGCATTTTTGCGAAGGCAGAGGCTTGGAATGGAAGCAAGGAACGGGAGCAACGACTCGGACGAAGACGAGGGTTGTGGAGAAGTTAGCGCTGATGACATTTTCCCAGTGATGTCGCTGCTATTTGTGTCGTCCACTGGTCCCCACCAAGGTGTAAAACATGCACTTCCTCGAATAGCTCGATTGTTGGGTTACCCACAGAGGGTCTTTCGGGCATATGGTGGAAGCTTCTTTTCAGTATCACTAGTTGCGGCGCCGGTGCAAGTCGGTGTATGCTAGGGCTGGCGTAAGCCAGGTCGCAAAAGAAATTATTTTTCTCCACAACCACGCTTGACAAAAATCCGAGCCTCATGAATTTGAACGTCGCTCATCCCTTGATTTGTTATTCTGAACTCGGATCACCCAAAATCTGGGAGACCTAGGCTGCGCAAGCGGTGAGTTGCGGCTTCCCTCTGTCAACGCATCGAACAAGACAGCATCGTGCAAGATTCATCAGGCACGTTTTCCACACCAATCAGCTGTGGGTTTGTCGGTGTCGGTGCGCTGGACTGAGTCTTCGTCTTGTAGCCCAAGGAAGCGGTTGAAATACTGTAACCAAATTTGAGCCTTGGTTTGGAGCTGGTTTTGTTCGGTGCGGTAGGGTAGCGCTACAGTGTAACTATATTATGATGCTGTAGGGTATCAGTTTTGACTGTGGATATGATGTATGTTATAGTGTATTATATTACAAAGAGGAGTTGCATTAGGCAGTTACGAGGGTACGACTCTTGTTACGAATAGTAACATTTGATATTACTGTGCACTCCTCACCGCAGCAAAGAGAAGCACGCAGTAACGAGAATGAACGCGAAGCGTCAGACGGTTGGAATTGACTCGAAGCGTCAGACAGTTGGGACGCATCTGGACCGTCGGAGCAGACGGCATCGGGCAGCTGCAGGCAAGGTGGTTTTGGCGGGAACAGTTACGAAACTGTACGCGCCGCACGGTTGGGAATGCATTTGAATAAGGGAATGTACCCCTTAGAGTACATGGCTAGTTAGGTCTTTTCGTATTCCATTGTACTCTTATTTATATCACCTTGTTTGCATGTTTTATTCATCTCAAGCATTTTACATTCACTCTGCTATTGAGGTCAAGGGCCCACCAAACTATCTCACTGCGTGCGAACCTTCCTGAGTAGATCCTAGGCCACGATCAACTCTTGATCGCAGCATGGTATGAGAGCAGCTCGGGAATCCTTCGCACTGCCACTCCCGAAAATTGCGACATTCAGAAAGTGGCGTCCGGCACACGTTCACGAGTGAAGATGGCCGGAGGATCTGGTGGTCAGACTAATCTGACGGCTGAAGCGCAACCCAACCCGGCTGCGACAAGCGAGAACACGACGACAATCAACTCCGAAGTTCTCGCACAACTTCTTCAGCGACTCACCAGCTTGGAGCAAGGGCTCCAAACATTGCGGAATGGCGATGCGGGAACATCCTCGCAACCCTCTCAACCGGCCCCGACTGGCCAGAACGCCACCCCGCAAACATTCTCCCTCGACACCAATGGCTCAACCCCCAAGACTCCCCGTCCCAGTGAAGAGGCAATTCTCTCCGCTCAATCAAGGTTTCTCAGCATATAAAAAATAAAGACAAGTACCTGCTTTGACGGCAGAGACTTTTACACCTGGAGCTTCGAGCTGGAGCTCCTGCTTCAGAACGCCCAGATCTTCCACTATTTCGACGGGAGCTACGCGGAGCCTGCTGAGGACACCGACGACGCCAAGGCGCGGTATTACAACGAGTCGCTGATGGCGTACGGGGTGCTCCTGCGGAACATGTCGGCGGCGGAGCAGCTCAACATTCGTTCTTACAAAACTTCGGCTGCTCCAGCCCTTAACGCCTGGCGGCACCTGACAGGAGTCTACCAGCCCAAGGACTCTGTCTCTTCGAGCCGACTACTCCAGGAACTCCTGGAAACTAAGATGACCGCAGGGGAGAAAGTCAACAATTACCTTAACCGCTGTCGGAGCCTTCGCGACCAAATCGTGAAGCTGGGAAGCACGATTTCAGAGGAGATCTTCGTCAACATCGTGCTTCAAGGGCTTGGCCCAGAGTGGCGGCCCTGCAAGGCGTCACTCCGACAGCAGGGGGTCATCTCGGAGGCCGCCCTTTGCGCCGCCCTTCTCGTCGAACAAAGGGATATGGACCAGCAGCGACCAGCGCCGCGACGAGAACGCGAACGGCTCGCCTTCTACGCCGACAACACCGAAGAGCGAAAGCCACGGCGCCTCTACTGCAAGATCTGCAGAAATTTCGGGCATCTGGCGGATCGATGCAAGAACCGATCTCGCCCTCGCCAGACCAATCCGAGCACCTGGTCCGGCCGTCAAGACGCACGAGGCGACGTGCGTCCAGCCCAAGGGTATCAGCCCCCTCTCGCGCGCAACCTGAACCCAGCGGTTCAGCATCAGCAGCAGCAGCCGTCCTCGACTGCCCCAGTTCGCAACGTCATGAGCAGCATGGCCATGACAGGCGAGTCGCGTCGTCGCCGCGTTCGCTCACCGCCACCTGAGTCGACACCGCACCCAATTGGCGCGTTCACCAACAACAACCCGTTTAGTCCGCGCCGCGACTTCACCGACGACGACGACCAGGACTGGAATCTTCCAGTCCCGCTGCTTGAAAGTCCCCCGCACGTACCTGATATGCGGGTGGCGCCACTCGATTGGCTCACGCGCGAACAGTTTTTGAAGTTCGACACTCCGCACATCGTCACGCCGCGACTGGCGCTGCTCGCACGTGACGACAACAAGCGCTACAACACCTGGTACCTGGACAGCTGCTGCGGCCAGCATATGGTGGGCTCCGAGCGTTACATATCCAACGCCGTCGCCACCCCTGCCGTCACTTACGTCACTGTGGCAAACAACACGCGCCTGCGCGCAAGCGCGCAAGGCATCGTCGTGCTCAAAGCACGCGGAAGCCGCACGCACATCACGCTTAACGATGTGCTGATCGTCCAGAACCTGCGCTTCAACCTCTTGTCCGCCGCACAGCTCATGGATTGCGGCGTCGACCTCAGCACGGACCGCGAGACGCGGGACATCCTGCTGCACTACGAAGCGCGCAACTTCCCCCGCAGGCAGATCGGACGAGCACACTCCGAAAATGGAGTGTACGTCCTGGATTTCGACATCCCCGACTGCAGCGGCGATTCGCACGAGCTGATTGACCTCGTGCCACTGCGCTTCGAACACATCCACCGCAGGGATTGGAAGCACCCTGACGGCAGACCGTGGGTGCCCCATCATCCTCATCCACGTGAAACGGCGTTACACAACCCCGACCCCGACGGCATATGCAGGGATTGTCACACGCCGACGACTTCCACAAGCGCGATTGCGGGCCGCGGACTCGCCGCCATCGCTGAAGCAGAGCGCCACGCGCCACCAGAAGAAGGGATGTCGCAGCTCGAGGTCGAGGAGACGACTCGACGCGTGTTCGGCACCGACCAAAGCCCTCACGCTGGACCTCCCTCCCAGCGGCTCGACAACATCCTGCGCGGACAACGCCGCGGAAGCTTGGACTCACGAGGAGTT